TATAACACAACAATAACCTACGGTATCTGTGTAACGAAGACCTTTGGTATGTGGATAACGTTAATCTACTTGGCTGTATAACGACAATAACCTATGGTGTGTGTATAACAACGACCTATGACCTTTGGTGTGTGGATAACGACAACCTTTGGTGTGTGGATAACGTTGAATTACTTGGCTGTATAACCTACGGTATATGTATACAACAATAACCTATGGTATATGTATAATAACAACCTGTATACCTATGGTATGTATATAATAACGACCTAAGACCTACGGTGTCTGTATAACAACAACCTTTGACCTACGGTGTCTGTATAACAACAACCTTTGACCTATGGTATGTGTATAACGTTGACCTTTGACCTGTGGCATGCGTTGTCCCCAGGCTCAGGGCCTCATCAACCCCGGCGTGCCCACTGACAACAATAACCTATGGTATATGTATAACAACAATAACCTATGATATAACAACGACCTATGACCTATGGTATGGGTATAGCGTTCGCTTATAACTTACAGTATGTGTTGTCCCCAGGCTCAGGGCCTCATCATCCCCGGCGTGCCCACTGACGTAGAGGTCAACCCGTACGTGAAAGCTTTCCTGGTGCCCGGCCGGACCTTCAAGTACAGGACAAAGACTTTGAGGAACACTAGGGTGAGTGTGAGATGAGGTGAGAGGATGAGGTGAGATGGGATGAGGTGGGATAGGATGAGGTGAGATAGGATGAGGTGAGATAAGGTAAAATAGCATGAGGTGAGATACGATAAGATAAGACGAGATAGGATAAGATTAGATAAGATAAGCAGAGATAAGATCAGATAAGACGAGATGAGATGAAATACAATGAGATACGATGAGGTGAGTGCACGATCATTCTAGAAAAGAGCGTGTTTACTTCTTTATAACCAGTGCCCACTTTCCCCACTTTTAGTTGTGTCCTGTTAGGCAGTGTTCTTACTTTACTTTATTTTAAACTTTAAAATACTTTACTTTTCTTTATTTTACTTTACTTTACTTTACTTTTCTTTATTTTCCTTTCCTTTCCTTTCCTTTCCTTTCCTTTCCTTTCCTTTCCTTTCCTTTCCTT